TGGCAGTTGTCGCACGGGGATACAGGTCCGTCATATTTCACACCTGTGGCGGAGTTGCGCCGCAAAATTTNTGGTTTTCCGAACTTCGGCTTGCGCCCTGGTTCTTGGTTGTTCGGGGGTATCTTGCCTGTCGACGCTGGATCGCCCTTGAATGTGATGGCGAGGGTGCACATGCCTTGGTCTTGAGTCTCTTGTTTCAGAGGAACGACGACTTCTCCGCCAATGGTGAGGTGTGGGGTCTTGTCTTCCAGGACACATCGGAGGCCCTTCTTGAGAAGGGCCGTTGGTGNGACTTCTCCGCCGATGGTGAGGTGTGGGGTCTTGTCTTCCAGGACACACCGGAGGCCCTCCTTGAGGAGGGCCGTTGGTGCGAAGATGTTCTGGCCTAGTCCTGGCACGATGAGACCTGATAGCTTGACGGGTAGTTGCTGTTCTTTGTCGTCTTTGATGGTGCAGTGTAGGATCCCAGTGGTAGTGCCTCGTAGTTGGCTTTCTCCTGCAACGTCGATGATCTTGGGCGTCGGGCGTTCTTCTTCGAGACGTCCATTCGGGATGAGGCGGTTGTCGAACATGGTCTCAGAAGCTCCAGAATCCACCAGCGCTGAAGTCCCAGTTGCAGTTGTCGTGAAAGTGCGTCCGCTTCCCTTGCTGCATGTAGCATGGTACATGAATTCACCCTTGAATGCATCTTCGTCGTAAGAGAAGTCGATCTCTGCCTTCTCGGTCTTCTCTGTTTCTTTGGGAGTTTCCGTTGTGGTAGGCTTGGCGTGTGTGTCTTCTGACCGGGTTGAGCAGTGCACGCAGTGTGTGCATGCAGAAAAGACCTTGGCCGTGCGCTCTGGTCGCTTGGCTCCTTGGTTGTAACACTCTTCGTCGGAGTGTGTAGTGGTGTTATGGACGGAGCACCACTTGGTTGCTCCCGCAGGCTTCGTCTTCTTTGCCGTATGGCCCTCCCGCTGGCGATTGGGACATTTCCTCCTGACATGTCCCGGTTCGTTGAACTGGAAGTAGATGGGGCCAGATGTCTTGGTAGCCATGGCGAATACGCGGCCAGCGATTTGGCCTTTGGTTCTCTTGCGCATTTGCTCGTAAAGGAAGATCTTGCGCATGGTGGCTTGCATCTGTTGTACGTCGAATGATGGGTCGCGGAAAACCATCATCTTGATGTCCTTGTAGTCCTCGGAGAAACCTTGCACACAGATTGCCTTGAAGCGGCGATCGGAGATGGTTTCCCCCATTTTCTCTAGTTGAGAGCGGAGGCGGTGTTTCTTGTTGAAAAAATCGTCCGGGTTCTCTCCTGGCTCCATGACCGTCCTTTCCAGGTCGTCCAGTTTAGCCCTGATCACTTCATCTGTCACTCGATTGTAGTTGGCCTTCAGTTCCGCGAATGCTGCCTGCCCGTCGCCGCTAAGGCCGGTGTCGTCTTCGTGCTTGTGTACGGTTAGTGCAGCCGGCAGTTCGACGAGGCAGAATAGGATTGGGTAGAGGTCTTCGTTTGCTCTCTCGTATGCGGCGAAGGTGGTGTCCGAGGGATCAGGCCTGCGCATTCCCTTGAGAAGTGGCATGATGTCCCTCCGAGTAATGCCGACGACTACACCCAACTTCTTCACCCAGTCGTTGAAGTCCTCTGGTTTCGTTCCATCGAACTTGGGGAGTCCTCTGATGACGTTGGCCAGGTTTGTGGATCCATCACTCCAGATGCTGCCTCCGCCTCCAGTTCCCGATTTTGCTTCCATTTCTGGTTTTATCCTGATGATCTCGTCTTGTATTTTTGTTGGTGTATTACTCAGCTATCTGTCGCTGAGATTTTTCCAGCCCCGCTCCTTCTATTGATATAGAGGACTCCGGTTGCCGATTCGTGACCCCGCTTCTGAAACCCTTTTCTCGCCTAGATAGAGAATTGGTGAATAGAACTCCGGCTGTAGGCCAGTTTGCGACCCCGCTCCTGATACCCTTCCTAACTTCGGGAATCGGTGAATAGGACTACGGTTCCCGGTCGACTTTCGCTGTTGATACAGTCTTCCCTCCTGTCTCCGCCGCAGAAGTATTTGCTCAATGTCTAAATCGAGGCTTCCCGCGCAACACTTTGCTGTTTGTTCACCACAGAGGTACCCACTACTGCTGTTGCAGCAGTGGTAACGTGTGTGTATAATGAACTCTCAGCCCCTTGGTGTAGATGACCAAGTAGTGCGCTCACTTTCGTTTCAGCTGACCGTTGATGATCTCCCAAATCTCCGAATCCAGATTTTCGCTCGAAGTCCACAGACGGATGTTGTAGTCCACAGCAGTAGGATGTCTTGACCTCCGTCGTGACGTCCGCAGCTCCTAGTGTTCGCGTAAAGCGAGGATCATAACCTTACAAGATGTGGCGTCCTGCAGCAGCGGAGGTGGTGGTGCTGCTGTAGCTCGTAGACTTTGTAGTCTACCACAGAGGTTACACTGCTGTCACCGCTCTATCACAGAGGTTGGTCTACACTGCTGTGAGATCGGTAGGCCCGAGCGAGCTCTGGAAAGAGAAATGTAGATAGATTTTCTTATCAACTGACTCCCTGGTCAGGCTTTGATGGGTGCTAGATGAGAGTGAGCACAAGGGGCGAAGGCGCGCTTGTGTCTCATCTCAACAACAAAACAAAAACAAAAAACAAGCAGCAAAAACACAGCAGGTTCCGAGGGTCTCCGGAGTAATGGCCCCAATACCGGAATTTCGGGGTTCGGAACAATAAAACAACTACAGTCTCGCCTGCCAAATTATCTCCGCTACAACTCTGTGCTCATGTTCTCTGCTGAGTACCATCTCTTCTTTCTGTATTATGTCTACGGAAGGCTAGTTGCCGCAGTCGCACCCATGGTAAACTGTGCCGGACTACGTTGTAACAGTTTTCCTCGACAAACAGCACTGGCCGAAGTGTATGCTTGACGACCTGAAGGCATTCGGAGCCGACCACGGATCAACACAAACCGATCCATGTTGTGTCGGAATCTCGGTACCCAGAGACACGGCCACGAGGTTAAAGTGGACGGAAGCCGCGAAGGTGGAGGGGGGAGTACCCTGGCATACGGCGGTGCTACAGGGAGCTGAGAGGTTTTGACCTCCTGGCACAAGAAGGAAGGAGAGGCCAGCCGACAACGGGCGCTCAAACGAGACCACAAGCCAACAACCAATGGGGCTGGAAGGGGGCAGGAGACGGACGGCGGCGAGTGAAGAAAGCAAACGACAAGAGACGGACCGAGTGGCGCGATACGTGCCGGATTGATTTACTTTTAGCCGATTCCCTCCCCCCAACGCTGCACCATTGCACCAACCCCTCACTAGTGATGACGTACGATTACAATGTATCGCTGGTTGTTGGCCATGTTTGCGTGTGTCGTTGTTCGTTAGTGGTCTCTCCACCGATGGGGAGAACAGTGCGGAGAACAAGGTGCCAGGGCGATTGGCCAATCCTAATCCGGAGCTGGACGGCCTCTCTGGTACAATCGGCCCTGTGGACCTGACCGAGGATGACGAGGACGAACCTGAATCTGATGATGACGTTCTGTAGACAGGCAGCGCGAGGGAACAGCCCATCACGGGAGGCCCCTGGTGTATGGTTGCTCAAAGAAGAGCAAAGTCCAAAGTAGTAATGTTGGTTTTCTTCCGATCGGGATATTTCGTTTCTTCGTCCCCTCTCTCTGCGTTGACTCGTCGCCTTAAGGTATAGAATGGGCCCACGAGACTACCTCCTCTACAACAAGTGTTAATTTTCCCCATGGCTTATTATATATATAGTCTATATTTTTTTTTTTGCTGGAGTTCATGTGGATGACGATGATGTTTTGTTTGGAAGACTGCTCTTGCGTGAGAGAGTAAGAAACATGAGTGCGGGGTCGAGATAATCAATCTCAATCTCAATCTTAATCTTAATCATGTTAGCACGTGGTGCATTCATCAAGCACCAGCAAAGAGCGACGTGAAACACATGTATATCGCACATACTCCTACTACCTACTTCGCTTTTCGTCACCACCAACTAATTCACACCTAGTTGCTCCAACTATCAGACAACTACCCGGTAGTTGTTCCTAAACAACTGCTTGCACAAGATTCTGACGGAGTAGTTGTTTGCAAATAACTAGTTGCACAAGATTTTGACGGAATAGTTGTTTGCAAACAACTAGTTGCACAAGATTCTGACGGAGTAGTTGTTTGGCAAACAACTACCAACTATCGTAGTTGTCCAGGGTGTGTGAATTTTTGCCGTGCAGGCCACCCCCCCCCGACCGGGGCAAAAAAAATCCTCCGAAATAATCACGCCGTAAGATTCCGCGGTAAACTACACCTGGCAACCACCGTCGCGGAAAGTGTGGCCCACGAAGCTGGAGGAGTAGAGAGATTCGTAACTACCACGTCAGTAAGCACCCCTCGCGGGAGGAGGCAGACAACCGCGGGCACCGCGGGGAGGGAGTGCTGCACCCTCCTCGCCAAAACACCACAGGCAAGAACCGAGCTCTACAGAGATGGATTGGTGCGAGGAAAGTCGCCGCTCGGAAAATACGGAAGAAAGCACACCTGCAACGCGGGGCGGACCGAGAGAGACGCGAGACCGCAGCGGCCGTCAAGGCGGCTGCGAAGAANGAGTGCTGCACCCTCCTCGCCAAAACACCACAGGCAAGAACCGAGCTCTACAGAGATGGATTGGTGCGAGGAAAGTCGCCGCTCGGAAAATACGGAAGAAAGCACACCTGCAACGCGGGGCGGACCGAGAGAGACGCGAGACCGCAGCGGCCGTCAAGGCGGCTGCGAAGAACAAGGCACGAGAGGGCGACCTATCGTTCGGCACGTTCAACGTACGCACGCTCGCCTACAGCGGTAGGAACCCCATCGGTCACAACGTGATGACGGTCATGCAGATTTGTTCGGCGACCGGCTGTGATGTGATAGGACTTCAAGAGACCCGACAAGAGGGGCAGGGTTCAATTGCACACGATGGTTAGGTGATCATCTGGAGTGGCGCCCGTGCTGGCACCAAGGACAAGAGGGGCGTACACGGTGTGGGCATAGCGATCAAGGAGGCCATGTGGGAGAGTGTGGGCGAGGAAGGTCGGACGGTGGAGTGCATTAGCCCGAGGCTGATGAAGGTGCGTCTCCCAATTGGCCGCACCTGCGGAGTAACTCTCGTGGTGGGGTACGCCCCCATGGGAACTGTCCGCACCACCGCGGGAGGTAATGTTAACACCAAGGACTCCTTCTGGACTGCTCTCGACGCAGCGATTCCGGAGGTTCACAGCCGTGACCATCTCGTGGTGCTAATGGACGCAAACGCACGCACTGGTAGGAGGCGAGACGGGTGCTGCGATGCCAAGATTATGGGCGCGTACGGACGCGACATTATGAACAACAACGGGAAACGACTCCTTGGACTGGCATCAGACAACCAACTCTCCCTGACCAACACCTACTTCCGAACACCGAACGGTGGAGTGCAGAACACATTCCAGAGCTCCAACAAGGGGAAGGAGAAGTACCGCCTCGACTTCATCCTCATGCGTCAGACGGGCCGGCGTTTCGTGCGTAATGTCTCCGTCAAACGTGTCGACTCCAAAGGCTCTGACCACAACCAGGTGCTCACGGCTGTCCGCCTCCCCCACCGTGTCGCACCCAACCGACGAGTGCGGGGGAACAGCGGAAGCAGCCGGATCCGTATCGACCTCGAGCGGTTGAGGAAGGACAAACACCTACGGGTCGCCTTCCAAAACAGGGCCTCCAGCCGCCCTCCGCCCACCGCGATCAGGCGGCCAACGGGAGAGAATGCCGCCGAGCTGACGGCTACGGTGATGTGAGCCTCTGCTGAGACCGCGCCGCTGGCGAGATGCGGTGTTGGAGAACAGCGGTCCTCCCCTTCGTATTGCCGCCGGAGCAGTGGGTGTGTGCGGCGTCAATCGTGTGCACCTTCCACACTCCGTTGGCACCCTTGTAGGCGCGGACTTGTGCTTTGCAGCCTCCGGCCCGAGCACCGGTAAGTCTTCTGCCTGCCCCCGCTATTCTTGCCCGCAACGAACAAACGGCCGCGTCTGAGGACCGCGATGTTCATTACTACTGGTACTTCATCGCTCATGTTCTGCCGATGCCAGTCTACCGTTCAGGCACGAGTGCCGAGATTAACCACGAGAGACTTGGTGGGTTCAAGAGCGAGATCTACTTGCAGGAGCGAGATCTACGAGAACCGAGTGAGTTCCGCCGTCGGCGGTGGGTTGCAGGAGGANGCACCGGTAAGTCTTCTGCCTGCCCCCGCTATTCTTGCCCGCAACGAACGAACGGCCGCGTCTGAGGACCGCGATGTTCACTACTACTGGTACTTCATCGCTCATGTTCTGCCAACCCAGTCTACCGTTCAGGCACGAGTGCCGAGATTAACCACGAGAGACTTGGTGGGTTCAAGAGCGAGATCTACTTGCAGGAGCGAGATCTACGAGAACCGAGAGAGTTCCGCCGTCGGCGGTGGGTTGCAGGAGGAGGCTTGCAGGAGAGACATCCACTTCAAACGAGAGTTCGGCCGCGTTAGCCGCGTTAGGTTCGCCTCCGCCCGCCGTCGGAAGCGTCGGAACTCGAGTGCGGGGTGTTGGTGACGTGTGTTCGTCANGAGATCTACGAGAACCGAGTGAGTTCCGCCGTCGGGGGTGGGTTGCAGGTGGAGGCTTGCAGGAGAGACATCCACTTCAAACGAGAGTTCCGCCGCGTCAGTCGTGTTCGGTCCGCCTCCGCCCGCCGTCGGAAGCGTCGGAACTCGAGTGCGGGGTGTTGGTGACGTGTGTTCGTGAGCGTGGTCTGCTGTTGGTCTGTTGGTCGAATAGCCCAGCCATTTTCGGGTAGGCGAGAGAAAGATCGGGCACCCCTCCGGGGAGTGAGTAGCCAAAATCGGGTGCACCCGGTAGGAATAGGGCCAGGGCCGGGTAGGGGCGGGCGTCGGCCAATCAGATGGCGCCAGGAGGGCGCTGCCGACTGTGAAAAACAAGTGTACCCGATAATGGCCGGATTGGGGCCGGGTGTNCGGGCGTCGGCCAATCAGATGGCGCCAGGAGGGTGCTGCCGACTGTGAAAAACAAGTGTACCTGATAATGGCCGGATTGGGGCCGGGTGTACCCGATTTTCGCCCCTCCTCTTTACAAAAACTAACGTAGCTATTTTTGTTTCTCCCAAAGCTACTTTCCCGTCGATATTTGCGAAATGTAGAAACACACAGACAGCAGTGTGTGTCCGCTAACACCACGAGGTACACCACCAAATCGTCGTGAGAGTTATCGCGAAGTCGTATCGATGGGGTAGGGANCCCAGCCATTTTCGGGTAGGCGAGAGAAAGATCGGGTACCCCTCCGGGGAATNAACTCGTCAGATCTTCGGTCAGCTCGTCGCATTCGCTCCAGCCGCCTCGGCAGCAAGGTAGACTACGAGTTCTCACTCATTTACGCGGATACAGCAGCAGTAGCAGCGCTCGCGGGGGATAGGGGTCATCGCGAGAGTGTCGTGGCAGCGGC